CAGATGCTACTGTTTTGAACACATTGCATCCAATTACCGATGATGCCAGTGATGTTTCTCACCGAGAAGTGTGCTTTGGAGGAAGTTAGCGATGAAGGACAGTTAAAGAAAATGATGAGAAGTATCACGTTCTACTAGATGAGAATGAGATGCTCGTGGTTCGACGGGTCTTATGGCTGAGGCTACAAGCGATCGACAGTGAATTTGCCAGAACATATTCTTCACCTGTTGTACTGTATATGATAAGATATGCAGTCTCATTATCGATGGAGGGAGCAACAAGAATGTGGCGCCTACACAGATAGTGGACAAGTTGAGCTTCACGGTTTAGAGACACTCTCAATCATATTCTCTGACGTGGTTGAGGGAGTAGAACATAGTTAGCATTGACAGACACCCACGACATTCAGATAGCCATCCACAGTTGGAAGATGAGTAGCAGTTCATCTAAGGTAGTTGAGAAGTCTGGTCAGAAGATGGTAAAGTCGAGAGCGGTATCCTAATGCAATCCCAGTCAGGAAATGCTTTAGATGCTATGATTTTGGACACATTGCTTCCAATTGCCCGACGAACCGAGTTGTGTCCTTCATCGAGCATGGTATCATGGAAGAAGTTAGCGATGAAGAGACAGTTGAATAAATTAATGAGTACCACCACCTTCCACCAGAGGAGGGTGAGATTCTTATGGTTCGACAAGTCTTACAGATTGAGGCTACAAGGGATCAACAGTAGCTTTACCACATTATAATTCTACACCCAATTCACCATAAAAGATAATGTCTGCAGTCTCATCATTGTTGAAGGGAGAAACAAGAATGCGGTGTTTATACAAATGGTGGATAAGTTGGGCCTCACGTTTCATAGACACTCCCAACCATACTCCCTGACATGGTTGAGGATGGACAAAGTCAGTATTGACAGGAGGTATCTCGTGGAGTTTTTGATTGGGAGTCAGCTGCATGATCAAGTTTGGTGCGACGTGGTGCACATTGATGCTTGACACCTATTGTGGGGGAGACCATAAGAGCTTGATTGTTGGACTAAACATGACAGGCTTAGGAGTACTTACTCTACCAATGATGGCAGGATGATAGTTTTTCTACCTTCTGTGGAGTCTAAGATTACATGTGCCTTTGTCAGTAGGAAGTATTAGTGGGATTTGTTTTGGTGATGATAGAGGATAACATGACTGAGGTGCCGAGTCCAGACATGGGGCAATCACTACAGAGAGTATTTCGAGACATCATGATTGATGCCTCATCGTCATGGACATCATTGTTAGAGGGAGTGCAGTTTGTCGGTGCATCAGACAAGGATGAACTAACCTTGGGCTTTCTAGAAGACTTTGTAGGTCACATTTGGCATGAAGTCTCAGTTCAATTTAGTAGAACAATATTCTCTTATTTAGTTGGACCAATATGGATATATGCTCGCAAGTGGAGACAACTCCTGAGGTGTTTTGGGGGATAGTGTAATCGACAGTGGGATCCAGGTGCTTCTAGATTCACAGTTGAAGAATCTTCAGCCCCACGAGGTTACTACAGCTGCATTAGCTTCAATATGCAAACAAAAGCTTCGATGAATAAGGTCGAAGCTTCCACAGCCTTGGTAAACTAACATGGTACTGTCCTTGCATGAATCTGATGAAAATTTTGGAGACTGAACCGATTAAAAAGGGTCGACCGACCTTACGGAATAATGTTGTCACCAAAATAGGAGTGGTTCCCTTCCCCCTCTTAGTTACCTTGTAGTATTTATATGTTGTTTGTGTTTATGGCAATATTTTTGATCGGTACAGCCGTCAACATCTCTAATTCTCCCTTCTAGGGCTATATCCAAAAGCGAGAAGGTTCTCCGGCTGTAACTCGTCTTGCTGTGGTGTTTATCTTTTGTTTCTTACATCCCACTGCCTTTCCTCTGTTGACGCCGTTGCCTGTTTGCTTCAGCCACCAGGAAAACAACCCCTTTGCTGTTTTCTGCAACTGTCTACCATCAGCCACTCCCTCCCAATGTGCTGCTATTCACCATGCCGCTGCAGCCACCTCACCATATGTCACGACCTCACCTAGGGCTTGGAGTTAACCAAGACGGGTACAGACGGTCAGATGGTGGGGACTAAGTTTTGTATATTCATTTACCATTTAACAAATGAAGGAGCAACTTATTAAATTAAATTAAAATATTATATTTAAATTTATATTGTTATTGGTTGTCCGCGTCTTCTATTAAATATTTTTCTTTTTTAGCTCATTTTTTAATCACTTAATTAACCTGAAAATTTAGTTTAAAATAACAATGAGCCATACAAGTCAGTGAATACTCACACTCCTAAATTACAGTAATACAGTGCAAAAAAATAATAATATGTTTTCCATTTTAACTTTTTAATAAATATCAATTAATCTTTCTATATCAATAACATACCAATATTATTCTATATATATACAACTGTCACAGGAGCATCGTCTAAAAATTATATTACTTAAGATATTTCAATATCATTATCAATTTTCATTTACGTGCACATACAAGTATACAATAAAAACATTAAAATTATTGGATCAATTAAAAAAATTTCATTTTCATTTGCATAACAATCAATATTCTTGATAAGATTCAAAATCTACGATAATTTTAATAAAGCTGAGCGCACAGGTCATTCTTGTGATACGAACAAAATTCAAAAGAACCGTAGATGATAGACTTGCAATGCTATAACAATAAATGTATTTGGTGAAGAAGAAAAAAAATATTATTATAACAAAAGAATACGAGCACTCACCTTGATCATTGATGATTATAAACGTTCTCTTCACTTATCTCCAATAACATACCTAAAGTCAAATGCATAAAGAATTATTATTTATTTATTATATGCTAATTTTATTTAGAAGATAGTTTGCCTTTATTTGACCTTTTGATGTATCATATAATATTAATTATTTTATTATTATCCTAATTGTTATCTTCATTTAACGGTTTAAGATTAATTAAATATTAAAAATAAAGTTAGATATCCTAATTTAACTTCTTAGTTACTTTATGTGCATTATATTATTTTTTTATTAGGCTTATAATTATACATACATTTATATTACATAACAATTTATTATTAATTAAAACTTGGGGCGATTACATACAAAGCACCCAAAACATTGCTATTTTCAAATCAAGCGCCCTCTTTTATCCATTTTTCAAATTCTCACACAAATATCAAAGGTCATGATAAAACCCCAACACTTCTTTTTCATTTTTTTCAAATTCACAATAGTTTGATCGTGACACGCGTAAATGCATCAATTTCATAGTTCAAAAAATCACCTAGGTGTTTGACTTGTAAATAACAATGTTTCTTGTGCTCTATACTTAATTATCCCGTAAAAAATTAAATAAATCAAAACCTAACCATTCTTACTATGAAACTTAACTTAAAATCTGATTTAATTAAAAATTACAATTAAGAATTAGTAATTTATAATATAAACGTGTATTATAAAATTTCTTACCTTATGGTTCGGCCTCCTTCTCGCACACACTCCTCCCTTTATTCTCCTTCGGCTCGGTCGATTGCCTCAACTTGATTCTTCATCTCTTTTTCGTACAGACGCTTGCGCCCCTCTTCCGTCGATTATCTGTAATGAATACTTTGGCCATGGTCGTGGTCATTTGCACTGAAAGCTTAGTGCATGACTGACTTCTCTCTTCCTCTTCGATCGACTCTTCCTGCCTGCTCGAAGCTCTCAACATCGACCCCCCCTACTTCCTCCTTCGTATGGCTGCAGCACACACGAACCCTTAGCACACGGGAGAGCTCCTCCTTCGATCGAGGTTCGTTATCGAGGTCGTCTCCTTTGTTTGTCACCAACATCATCTCCTCTGCTCCGCTTGAGCCTCCCACGCAGGTGAGTCGTAGCCTTCCTATCCCCCTCTCCTTTCTCTTCCTTTCTCCTTTATTCTTCTTTTGGACTTGCCTTGTCTTCCTCCTACGCATTGTTTTATAGAACGCAAGTGAACTCTGAGTTCCCAACATTTCGATTCCTCTCCCTCTTTTGACCGCACAACTCCTTTCTGTTAATTTGCTCTCCTTTGTTCACCTCTTCTTCTTCGGTTCTTCGTTTTGTCTCCTCCAAACTGAAACATGTCGTCACACAAAACACTGTTGTCGTCCACCTTCAAGCCCCTCCTTCCATACTTACTGTTTGTCCTTAAACCGCAACACCACCACCCGCGACCTAAGCCCTAGCTGTGTTTGTGTTGTATCTTTGGCCATTTCCTTATTTCAAGCGTCTTTGGTTGAAATGTCTATTTGATTTCCGTAATAAAAGTTACATTTTCGTTGTCATTTGGGGACTTTAGACTGGTTAAGAAAGTATGGAGAAATTAAAAATTAAGCATATTTTCTTATTAAAAATTAAAAATAAATCCATTCTAATTTGAAATATTATCTTAACAGGAAGTCAAAATTTAAACCCAAGATTACATAAGGAGTTAATGCCTTCCTATTTAAACATAATGACCTAATAAAATAAAAACTAATTAATTTCATGGACTGGTCTAGTTGAACTTAGAGCTAGCCATGATTCTTAATTTAAGTGCACTTGCTGCTTCAGAAAATGGTAGAAGTTGTGCAAAATTTTAGTACAGTAAATTTAACACTCCATGCAACAATCACCTTCGATGAATATGAGGATATTATAATGCCAACCCCAAAGAGTTGGGATAAGGTAATGATAAATGATTATGAGTTCCAAAGAGCACAAGACTTTAAGTGCTTCTCAGACTTCATTTCCTTGCTGTCCTTTCTGTCAATCGTATTGTGCTCTTTGGTAAATTAGGATTCAGAAGAGTTTATATTCATATAATATTCTCATTCATGCGTAAGAGCCAATCATATTTCTTTTAATATCTTTGAAAATCCCGTGACATTTTCTTGTAGCTCACTGAAGTCATAGTTATTTTAGCTGGAAACTTACGTTCGTCATTTTCTTTTATATTTTTAGTCATTTTGGCTTGATAGCCAAGGTATAAAGGAAAATATTGGCGATCCTGTGAAATTGGACGGTGATATGGTGCCTTTATATGACCGGGGATTTTCATTGGGCTTGACTACACTTGATGGATCTACCATCACTGAAAGGTAAATAACTTACTGATCATGAACAAGGAACCTTGTAGTTATTTTCTTTGTGATGATTAAAGTTCTAGTAGTCTTACTTCCTTTTATTTACTGTGATGATCTTTGGTGAATTGGTGGAAAATTCTTGGAGTGCCATAAAGATCCAATATGCCATGTTTATTTGTTCCCCTGAATTATAATTTTGTTACTTTTCTATTTATTTATGAAAAAAAGCCATGCATTCTCTTCTCTTAATTCTCTACCTAACTCACCCACTGGTTGATATTGCTGTCTATGCTTGGTCGGAGCATCTTACCTTATTACTGGCACAGTTAGATATGTTAAACATATTGAGGTCAGAATAATTATAGGTATTACGCTAAACAGGTTAGATTATCTTTTGTCAACTAGGTAGTATTGCTCGAAATTATGCTGACCAACATGAATTGCTATATCGTCCTGCAAACCTCGTTTAAATTCTTTAACCTACATGATAGAAGTCAGAATTTTGAGTTTAACTAGTATGGTGATGCTTCTAGAATATGTTTATCCCTTCACTAAATTTCCAACATCTGGAAGACATAAGACTGATAAATTTAGAACTTAAAAGTATCTATTTGAGCTACTGGTGTTTGGGAGAGCATAAAGAGTGATAAGAAGGATTCATCTGATATTTGGGATCGGAGCAAGAATAGGTATATAAAATTATATTAATTTGGGGATGAGATCTAGTTGTTAATCTATGATCGCAATTTGGTCAAATTGTAGAAATATCTAACGATTCTTGTTTGCTGAATTATTAGTGGTCTAATTTCTTGACGGAGACTGCTAATGGGCGCAATTCTTAGATAAAATCAATTTGACTATAGTCCATAGGAATGATTAAATCAACAATCAGATGTCATGCAAGGGAGATAGAGCTCTCAATTTAACGGATCATTTAAAATTTGGATTATAGATGGGTATTGAGTAGCTTGAAGTTCTAAACTACTAGATATATAACAGTAATCCGTAACTGTTTTTACTTATCATTAACTTTTATTCCCTCGTTATATATTTCCTATTTCTTTTATTCTATTTTATTTCTTTCTTTTGTTGTGTCTATTGTAATTCAGTTTAAATACCCCTCTTTCTATCAATAATATTTATGTTGCTTTATTCCAAATCCTGGTTCTATTCTAAAATGGTATCAAAGCCATGGGTCCGACCTAGCAGCTGCCGAACCCTCCCTTGTCGTTGGCTGTTCCAGGTGCTACTTCTCACTCCGCCGACCAGAGCTTTTATTCTAGGCGCTGAACCTCTCTTGCCAGCCGAATGTTCTGGTAGAACTCTTGTCCAGGCTGATAGGGCTTCTCCCAGCCAACCGAAACTCCTCCAAGATGTAAATCCTGCCGGCCATAATTTTGTACAGCCGGCTAGTCTTCCGTCCAGGCCGCTGGTCCTGTCCAAACCTGCTCCCCAACTGCCAAATATCCTCTAGGCACTGTATCCTGCAGACCAGAATTTCTGTCCATCCAGCTAGTTTTTCTATCCAATCGCTTGACTTTTCTTTCCTTCCTGCAGTCGGAGTCTTTTGATGTCACAACAACCCAACATCACCTTTGGCTCAGTCGGAATCATGGTGGACTCCTCCATTACTGAGTCACTTCTAGAAGGCGTTCTTAATTCCATCAGAGGATCGACTCCAGCTCTATAGATCAGAGGACTGGAAACCAACTTGAACTTAATCACAAACTATAAAATGAACGACAATAACTTTGTCCAGTGGTCCCAAGTGGTGTCTTTGTTCATCAAAAGACGAGGGAAATTCGGTTACATCACATGTATGATTCGTGAGCTTCCAAAGACTGACCCAACATATGGAGCTTGGGAAGTGGAGAACTCCATGGTCATTTCGTGGCTGATTAACTCCATGGAGACTTTGATTTATCATTCATATATGTTCCTCCCTTCAGCTAGTGCCACCTGGACGACAGTCTGTGACACCTACTTGGATGTAGGAAACTCCAGCTAATTCTATGAGGTGTCTAAGAAAACCCGAGAGGCAAAACAGGGGTCAAGGACCGTGACCTATGGATGGAATGTGACCGGTACTACGACTACACTTGAGATTCTCAGGCCAACCTTTTTCTCTTTCAGAAGTTTGTAGAAAAGGTTCACATGTTCCAAATCTTGGCTGGCTTTAACAAAGACCTTAACGAAGTTTGGGGCTGTATTCTTGGTCAGGACCCTCTTCCTTCTGCCCGCACTACTTTCACCGAGAATTGTCGGGAAGAGAGCCGGAGAATTGTCATCCTCGACACTTCTACTCCTTCAGCTGAATCGTTCGCCTTGGTCTCGAATAATGCTCAACCCTTGTCTATGCCACTTCGGATTGACCATCTTACTTGTGATTATTGTCACAAACCCATCCACACTCGAGACAAGTGTTGGAAACTTCACGGTAAACCTTCATTCATATCTTCAACCAAATCCTCTACTACCAAAGGTCTCCCGACGACGTCCGAATCTACGAGCTTAACCCAACCCTACCCGGAACATTCTAGAATCTCTGAATCCCTGAAAAATCAGATGGAACAATTGATCAGGTTACTTGGAGTCAATCAATTCTTTGTGGGTCTGTCGACCTCCCACGTTCGACATGGTACTCTTCCTATGACCCTTGTGTGGTTTTTTATCTCTAGTCCGTGGATTATTGATTCAGGTGCCACGAATCACATGACTGGTTGCTTGCAAGCTTTTTCGACTTACTATCCGGGCTCTGGGAAAGATACTATCAAAATTGCTGACAGCTCGTGCAGTTCCTTTGCTGGTAAAGAACTGGTTGTACTAACGATTGATCGAACTCTGAAGTCTAGTTTACATGTTCCCTTTTTACAATGTAACTTGCTATTTGTCAGTAAGTTGACAAATGATATTATTTGTGTGGCTAATTTCTCTTATGATGATTGTGTATTTCAGGATCGTTGCTCGGGGAGGCTGATTGAAATGGCTAAGAGTGTATCTCGACTCTACTAATTCCAAGAGAAGCACAGAGAGTGAGGACACACTACTCAAGAGTTATAGTTTATCTTGAGTCAACCTAGTTTCCAATATTTAAAAAAATTGTATCCTTAGATGATTTCTAATAAAAATCTTTCTAATTTCAATTGTGAGACATGTTAGTTAGCCAAACATCTTTGGGTTCATTACTCACCTCACACTTACACACCTTCTGCCCCTTTCTCTCTCATTCACAGTGACATATAAGGACCCTCTCGCACTTTCAACTACACCAATAAAAGGGTGGTTGCTGGCTTTGATTGATGACTACACTCGAACGACGCGTGTCTACATTTTAAAAGACAAACTTGAGGTTGCTGCCATCTTTCAAAACTTCTACGCATTTGTTTTAACTCAATTCAAAACTCTAATTCAGGTTATTCAAACCGACAATGATCGTGAATTTTTCAACTCGATTTTGGTTGAATTTTTGGTGGGAAAGGGCATCCTCTACCATAGCTCGTGTACGAACATTCCTTAATAAAATGAGGTAGCTGAGAGAAAAAATAGTCACCTCCTCGATGTTGTTCGCTCCATATGTTTCAATCAAATGTCTTGAAACAGTTTTGGAACAATGTCATTATGACTGCTACCTTTCTTATAAATAGAATCCCCTTTAAAATTCATAAGTTCCGAACCCTCTTAGTCATCCTGATGGCATGCTTCCCTGCCAATCGAGTCTTCTCCGCATTTAATCCCAAGATTTTTGGGTGCACTGTCTTTGTTTGGAACACTGCCCCAACTCGGAGTCGGATTCATAAAATGTATATTTCTAGGGTATTCCGCCACTCAAAAGGGGTATAGGTGTCTTGATCCTACCACAAAAAAATTTATGTGAGTGCTGATGTCTTCTTCTTTGAAAGTATTTCCTATTTTCCTAGCTCGGTCTCAAGTGTGGGTGGGCTTGAGTTCTCCCCTTTGTTCTTGCCACTGAGGAGTCCTCTGTTTCGTTGAGTGCAACACCTCCTCCTTCCATTGCCTATGTCTACACTCGGCGCACCCGTCCTAATGCTTCTTCTTTGAAGTCCACTACCTCCTTACAGAACCTTGATTCCATTCCGGGCGACAACCTCAGCAACCCTCCTCTGAATGAAGTGAAGAGTTCTCTGAGTAAGGTACGCAATCAGACATGCTCCCTCCATTCTATGATAAAATATGTCTATTTCTGCAGTTTATCGCCGACTTACAGAGCATTTTTTACTGCCATACTAAACGATCAGATCCTAGCTACTATTGTGGTTGCTCTTGCTAATATAGCCTGGGAAAACATTAATGGAGGAAATAAATGCCCATCAACGGAACCATACGTAGGACGTCGTTGATCTTGCTCGAGGTAAGAAAGCTGTGGGGTGCCAATATATTTTTAGCATTAAGTTCAACTCTGATGGATCTTTTGAACACAACATGGTATGATTGGTCGTCAAAGAATTGTCACAGACCTACGGAGTTGTCTATGAGGATACATGTGCTCCAGGGGCTAAATTAAACCCTATTTGGGTCCTGTTGTCTCTCATGGTGAATCTGGATTGACCTTTATTCTAGCTAGATGTTCAAGAATAAATTCTTGAATGAGGAGCTTACAAAAGAGGTGTACATGTCTCTCTCTTCTGCCTTTGACTCTACTGCCTCCAAAGGGCAAATGTGCAAGTTGCGAAAGTCCTTTCTATGGGTTAAAATAGTCTTAAAGGGACTAGTTTGACAAGTTTACCACGGTGGTCGTGGGTCTTTGTTTTGATCAGGCTCAATCAGATTACACTGTTTTTCTGACATTCCTCTAATGGCCAGGTAGCTATCCTTATTGTCTATTTTGACGATATTGTTCTTACAGGTAACGATCTTCCATGATTGGAGTCCTTGAAAGACGTTCTTGCTAAGTCCTTTGAAACGAGGGACTTGAGATCTCTCTGATACTTCTTAGGCGTGGAAGTGACTCGGTCATCTTAGGGCCTTTGCCTTTCGCAACCCAAATATGTTGTTGATCTCTTGATAGAGAACAACCTTCTTCTGTGCAAACCAGTGGCTGTTCCTATGAATCCGAATGAAAAACTATCTAACATTTTCAACCCGGTGTCTGTCAACAAGACTCATTACCAGCACCTTGTGGGGAAACTCATCTACCTCTCCCATACTTTCCCTAACATATGTCATGCATTTGATATATTAAGTCAATTCATGCATGACCCCTTTGAGCACTGTCCAAGCTATCCACCAAATTCTCCACTATTTAAAAGGTACACCGTGCTTAGGTTTGTTTTTCTCTCATCATTCCTCTCGGTCTATTGCTGCTTATACATATGCTGATTGGGCCGGGTCAGTTCATGATTGACATTCCACATCGGGGTATTTGTTTGTGGCAATCTTGTCACATGGAAAAGCTAAAAACAATATGTGATTATCTGGAGAAGTGCTGAAACTAAGTTCCAGTCCATGTCCTCGGGGATCTGTGAAGATTTCTGGTTACGCATCATTCTCTGCGAACTTTGTTTGCCAACTTCCATCCCGCTACAACTATTCTGTGATAATAAGACCATCATCAACATTACTCACAATTCCGTCCAACATGCTTGCACCAAACATAATGAAGATTAATGGACAATTCATTAAGGAAAAGATTGAGGGTATGTTAATAAGTTGATCTGTTGTTCAAAATGCTACGATGACTATTATGATTTTTTTTTTTTGGAAAAGTCATACCGCAGCTAGAAAGCTGCCACCGCACCTAGCCATGAACGATTTGAGAACGTAGCTTTTTAAATAAGCTGCCAAAACGTAGTTTACCCAAACGGTCATGGGTGCGTTTTCAAAATGCATCGCACCAAATAAGCTGTCCCAAATGGGGCATGAGTCCAAAAAAAGATGTGTTTCTTTTGTGCCCTTCAGTGATCAACTAATGGGTATACTGATCAAGAATGTTCCTCGTCCTTTGTTCGATAACTTCAAATTCAAGTTGAACATGATTAACAATTACGCTTCAACTTGAAGGGGCAATATTAGATTTATAACGACAATCTCTAGCTGTTATTACTTATCATTAGGTTTTATTCCCTCATTATGTATTTTCTATTTATTTTGTTCTGTTTTATTTCTTTTTTTTTGTTGTCTACATTGTAATTGAGTTTAAATACCCCTCATTCTATCAATAACATTATAATGTTTTATTCCAAATCCTGGTTCTATTCTAACATAAACATATTTGAATAAACTTAATTTTGATTTTTAAAGATTATGTAAATGTAATTGGATATATGTTGTAACTTTAACTTATTTAGTTTTTTGTTTGTGGATAGGTTTTTTCTTTTTGTGGAGTTTGTTCTGGTGTGGATAGGGACTTTATCCCTGCTGTAATTGCCTAGAAACATGCTTAATTCTCTGCAATGAATTTAAATTGAAAGTTACCTATTTCTTTTCTTTTTTCTTTTTTTTTATAATTTTCTTATCTGTTTGAAATGGTTGGATCATTCCCATGACAAAAGAATCGCCAGCCTGCTGCTACTCTGTCATAGCTCCTGTTGCTGTTTAAAATCTGCTGCTGCTGTCACTTCTTGCTTTGACGCCTCTTGAGTTCACTTGGTGTTGTTGTTTTGCTCTATGTTGGTAACATAACTTTAATCCTTGATGAATTGCATGAACAAAAAGCAGTCATATATGTAAAGAAGAGGTGCTTGTTTTAAAGTTGCATCGTAAGCTAAGAAAAAGATGAGCAAGGAGAAGAGAGAGAGAGAAAGTTAAAGGTTAACAATGATTCTAATTAAAATCTACTTGACGATTTTGCTATATGAACAACACAACAATCATGGTGGATTGTATGAGTATGCAAATAACTACGACCGTGATTAGTGGGCAGTTCATATTTTGCTCCATTTATTTATTATTGCTAGATGCAAACTTGGCTGGAGTGGATGAAAACGAAACATGACTATCACTCTTGAAAGAATGATGCAACCATTCAAAGTAGGAGCAAAAGTCGAGATCCTTACATAAGCTCAATAATGTTGGAGTTGACCCAAATCACAATAGAGAAAGCAAGTATTATTACTAAAAAAAGTAAATAGGATTACAATCAAAGATAATACACAATACGACTCAACTAGGACTGAGGGCGAAGACGAAGGTGCTGCGGTTTAAGCAGTAGGACTAAAAATGGGCTGGAGGCGTCTGGAAGGAGGGCTGCAATAGTTGGGAGGTTTGTGGGAAAGGTGACAATAAGTAGGGAAGTGATGGGAAGGGATGGCGGCGGGTTCGGGGGGCTGGGAAAGGGGCGGCAGCTAGTAGGAGGGTTAGCTGGACTGGTTGGCAGCAATCGGTAGGTGGTTTGGAAGGCTGGCAGCGAGGTGGAGTGGCTGGAAAAGGGGCGGCAGCAAGCAGGAGGGGTGGGGGGGTGTGTTGCTGGTCAGCAGCAAACTGATGGCGGTTTGGAAGGCTGGCTGCAAGGTGGAGGGTTTGAGAGTGCTGGTCTGCTGCAGGGAAACAGCTGAGAGGCGGTTTTTGAGGGACGACAACGGCCACGGGGCGACACCGGCCACAGCGATAGCGGCAGCGGAGGAGAGGCTCTTGGGAATGAGCTGTAGCCAGAGCATCACACAAACCTTAGAAGAAGATCACCACCTTCGGACAAACCACCCTCCCTTGGATACTACTCTAGAAAGGATAAACCGGGACGCAGGTGGTTTTCCTGAATAGAAACTTGAAAAAGTTGTCCTAGAAACGATGAAAAAAACATATATACACCTAGGGCACCAAAGAATTGGCCCCCACGTCAATTGGGCGGCAAATCCTATGAGGGGATGTTTGCTTGAGCTGGACGTCCAGTCCAGATGAAGGGAAGAGCCTGTCAGTCCAAAATTCCTGCAGCAGAGGGCCCAATGATCTGGTTCGGGACTCCCACAGCAGTACGCCCATGTGTACGATATCCATTTGACCCATCATGCATCGTGTTAGACACTGCTAAAAAATTACTGCATCTTTGAGTTATTAATTTATAGTTATTATTTGCTAGCAATTTGCTTACTCTTTTATATTAATCTAGTGCTTGTACCTTTTGTTATGAATGGATTTGTGATGCCATAAAAAATATGAAAGGCATAAATGTATGACCCCCTTCTCTTATATAGGATGGTTTAAGATTTAGTTTTTCTAATGCACCTAGAATAATGCAATAGATGTTGATTACCAAAAGTAAATTATGATTCATAAATCAAACACCACTAAATATACAAAAACTCATTGTAGATGCGAACAAAAAAAATGAGAATTAGAATTCAAATGCATTTATGAAATAAATTTAAAGAGACCAAAGAGAAATTAAAGAAAACAGAGATGGTTTAGAATTAGAAAAGCTAGTCTTTGATTACTGAAAACTTCTTGCAAGACTGTACAATTGCAAAGAAATGAATACTTCCTTAGAATTACTTTCCAAACCGCTCAGCTTGTTAGTTGACATATTCATGGCTAACCTTCTCTAGTTGATTGTTTATTGAATATTAAATTGTGAAAGTTTCCTTTTGAAGGAGAACAAGAAAGAAAGATATGTACCTCTTTGGAATATAAGCATGCAGCTACCAGCATATTTGGAAGAGCGAGCATATGTTTGTCAAAGTTAATGCCACGAGTTGTGAATGTTCAATTTGCGATCAGTACTTGCTGCTGTGAAATCATTTCTAGATAAATACTGACTTTTGGGGCTATTTGTGTTCCTGAAGCATGGATGTCAATTTGTCGGCACTTTCCTTTAACTGCAATGAGTATCGTAGATATTTCGTTTATGTTTTGAATTTTACTTTGGCAATGTGGTGCATTCAGCAACTCTAGATTTAAGATTCCTTTCATTCATTTTTATTTTCTTTATATATTTCATGGATGTTCCTGAAGCGTGGATGCAAAATTCTCGGCGCCCTCCTGTAACTGCAATGAGTATCATAGATATTTCATTGATGTTTTGACTTTTACTTTGCCAATGTGGTGGTGCTTTCAACAACTCTAGATTTAAGATTCTCTTCATTCATTTTTATTTTGCTTCTATATTCTGTGAAGTTATATCTTGAAGGTTCAAAATTTAATGACACGCTTAATTTTTTTTAATTAATAGTGGAGTGCAGGCATTAGATGCTTCTCGTTGCTTCAATTGTGGCTCTTATAGTCATTCAGTGAAGGAGTGCCCAAAGCCACGTGATAATGTTGCCATCAGTAATGCTCGCAAACAGCATGGTTCAAAGCGCAACCAAAATGCTAGCTCTCGCAGCCAAAACCGATATTACCAGAAAACTTCTGGGAAGTTTGATGATTTAAAAGCTGGAGTGCTGGGGCCTGAAACAAGGGAATGCTTGGGTATTGGGGTAATTATTTTTTCTGTCAATTGCATTCTGTATCGAGTAAATAGGATCTCTTGCAGCATATATAATTTTTCATTTCACGTGTCATCATGTTGTTCTGGCCCCACCATGTAGAGCTCTATTGGAGTCTCGTGTGGGTGCCAATTTTTAACTTGCTAACTAAATTTACAAATGTTCATGAACATGCTTCAAGTAACCTGGTTATTTCTGGAATCATTTTTATTTTAGGCTGTTATTCTCATTTTCTAATATTACTTTTTTGTCCTCATCTTTTTGATATAACACGAGTTCATTTGTTTTTCGTCAATTTGATCATAACTATGAATTGAACTTCTGATGCGAATGCTACCAATTTTTGTCATTAAATGTATGCATGCTTGTCTTACGAGCTGTCTTAAGTTTTTGCTTATTTTTGAAGTCACCTCATCAATGTCGTGTTGTTTCCCATGCCATTTATCCTTATCCATGCTTTATAGAATTCTGGTAATGTGAAGAGGATAATGATAGTCAGCTCTGGAATTGTAAAATAATTTTATATCACTCAAAACCTACATAATGTTTACTCATATGCTCACCTTGATATTTTTTTTGGTATATTTATTAAGTGTAGGTTGGGCTGCTAGATTTGGGCTTCTTTGTGGCTAATGTTGACCTAGGGTGCATTTGGGGCAGCTTGTGCTTATCCAGATAAGCAGCTTATCCTGAAACGCGACTCGCGGTCTGTGTTTAGTGTAAAAACCGAACCACGTTTTCGGATAAGCTGCCAAAATGTGTTTTCCAAATGGTGAGGCGACGTTTTCCGCACTTATAAGCTGCCCCAAACGGGCCCCTATTCTATCCCACAAGTTAAATATTGTTTGGTATTTCACCAAGGGTCTGTTTGGGGTAGTTGTAGCTTATCCAACTTATCCAGATAAGCTGCTTATCCTGATAAACAACTGATCCAAATAAACTATTTGAAACAACTGATTCTGGATAAATGATCATTCTCCCCTTAACCCTGTGTCATGCCATTTATGAGAAATCTACAAAGAAAAGTCCAAAAACTTTTTATGGAGGAAGTACGACGGGAAATCATTCAACTGCCATAGAGGTTTACAACCTTCTAGAGGAGGCAATTTTGAAGGTTCATTCGTAGCCACAATGGTGACTTGCTAGATTGAAATAATGCAATAAATTCATTTCACCAGACATATTCTAGAGATGAACTACTACCCTGAAGGCATGAATTAACAGCGAGACCATGATATTGAAGTAAAGGTAAAATTGTTACATTTTGACGGCCACTTGGATCTAGACGAGTTCATAGAGTATTCTTTGAGTACTAGGACGTCTTACCAGACATAATGATGAAACTAGTCGTCAACAAGTTAAAGAAGAGTCCATCTCTGTGGTGAGAGAACTTGAATATTCTTTGACATCGAGAAGGGAAGAGTAAATTTATTACTTGGTCTAAAATGAAAACTGAGATGCATCTTAAGTACCTACCAGTTTATTACAGACATGACATGTTTGCAAGACTTTATCACTGCAGCAATAAGGTCTCTCACTAGAGTACAAAGTTGAGTTAAAGCAACTTATATTGAAATGTGGTCTGGTGGGGCTCGAGAAGACTTCCATAGCTTGATATTTGAGGGAATTGAGATCATGTGCTAGCTAAGTAATGCAATTGCAGGCTTATCGGACATTTGAGGGATGTTCAGGCTTTAGCTTCAAGGGTTGAGAGACAATATTTTCAGACGACTGTCACATCTTACAGACAGAGTTCAACTCAAGATCAAAGAGTAAGAGTACACCCAACGAAACGTCCTAGCCGACTTACCCTGAGGAGAAACTTGTTCAAAATGGAGACCAGGTGAAGCCAACCAACACTGCTAACTTTGTCCCAGCCAGAGAGCGTGTCAAGTGCCACGATTTTGGGCACAATGCATCAGATTGCCAAACAAAATTACAATATATTTTACTGAACATGTAGCAGCGGGATCAATGGAAAATGACACCTCAGACACTAAAGAAATTGAAGACACAAAAGAGGAGTGTCTGCTATTAACTGATGAGAGAGAGATGCATGTAATTCGTGCTAAGCCTATGAGAGATACGACAACAGAGTTAACAAGTCTGAGATAATGGGCCTTCATGCAAAGTATGAGGTTGTGGTGCTTCAAACTACTTTTTTGCAGGCATTGAGAGGAGCATTAACATGGCTGATATTAGATGTTTCAAAGATTCATTAGTTTGGGAAGTCGATACTAAATTCATGGCAACCTCAGATAAAAGAATTTCAGAATTTTCAGATATATAGCCTTCCTCTTGAGTTGCCACTTTTGAAGGAGGTCCAACATATCAAGGATGGGAAGCTTTTGAGCCACTTATGGAAGAACATATAGAGCCATTGGGGTATCAATTCAGTCCAACAGTGCACCCATTGATAGCTAGACATGAGAGTTGAACCATAACGTTGGGAATTGGTTTAGGATTTTTGGGGGTAGAACATCCTACAATGGGATTTAGGTTCTTTTAACAGAGTAAGAATAGGCTGCTCTTTGAGTGTTTATAATTCAATATGATCCAACCTACTATAGATTTCATTTTAGAGTTGATTTTTCTTAACGGATTTGTTTATCCTATACATTCAACTGAGTATGAGAAGTGGGAAAGGTAGATTATAAATATAATTGCTCTAGATTTGACTCGTGGGAATATAAGTCTATATGCAGTTCCAGCTCTGGTTGTGTCAAAAGAGGATGGATATTTATTTTATCAGAATGTGCTTTAGAATGATAACACCTATAAGGTGTACTTACCGAAAAATTACAGTAACTCCGTCACCTTCAAAATGGTTGATCTGACACTATATCATGAGAAGTCAGAGCTTCGATGGATGAGGCCGAAGCTCTTGCAACCCCGAGAGACTATGGGGGCGTTACACGCAGAAGCAAAATTGCTTCTTGCATGCGGGACTCCCGTGATTTAAGCGTCGCATTTTAGCATGAGGACCGAATTGGTCTAAATTTTTGCATTTATGGAGTCGGCCGATCTTCTTGGGTAACTTCTGGATCTTCTTGGGTAACTTCTGACTATCCTATTATTATATATTTGCTTTTTTTGATGTTTTAGATTTATTTTTTTGTGAGTTTTGCTCGGGACAACCTTCGACTTCTCTGTTGTTCCTTCAAGGGTTGTATCCACTGGTCGAGAGTGCTCCGGTTGTATCTCACTCTCAAAATGGTGTTTATCTTTCCCCTACCCCTCCACATCCCTCCCGCTTTGCTGATACACATCCCGCTTTTGCTGCACTCGCTAGAAATAGCTTTTCGCGGTTGTTTTTCTGCAGAGTTGTCTTGTGCCCCCGCCATCGCCTTTCCTTTCCTCTTCACTGCTGCTGCTGTTCCCAACCTTCTGCTTTGCTTCCATCGCTGTCCCAGCCCTCTAACTTCACCGTTGCAGCCGCCCTGCAATTCCTCCCCTTTCTTGTTTTACTACTGTCCAGTAGTTCAACATCGCTACCGCAGCCCTGCAACTTCTTTCCCTTTGATGGTTTACCACTGTCCAGCCATCTTACATCGTTGTTGTAGCCCTGCTACTCCCCTTCCCTTTGATGATTACATCTGTTCCAGTCGACCACAAGCCCTACCGCCCCTCATCCATCTCCTAGAAATCAAAACCGCTGTAACCGTTGCCCTCCAACATCCCGTCCTACCATTCCATCCACCTACCTCCAGTTACACCTAAGCCGACCTCTATCAACCCTGGATCAACCTCTCGTTGAGTTCGTGCATTTAGTCTGTTGTTATCTCCCGTTATAAAGTATTGGTTGTAATCTCCTATCTGATTTTAATAATAATATGTGATTTTCTTATCGTTGTTTGGGTTAGCTTCAGTGTCAAGTTATACTTTAGAAATGATTTGGTTAAGGGGTTGTTTGGATTGTTGACATCTATTATGTATTGAGAAAAGTGTCAAAATAGCCCCTTACTTTTTTGTAGGTCATTTTAGCCCCAAATTATATAAAAATGTCTATTTAGTCTCCAAATTCTTTTAATATGGGCTGAAATAGTCCACAGAGAGGACTCTTTCAGCCCAAATTAAAAAAAATCTGGAGATTAATTTGGTGCTTTTATAGACTCTGGAACTAAAATGGTCTCATGTAAACAATCAGGGGATTTTTGGCACATTACTCATATGTTGTTTTTTCTTTTCCTTGTAAGTTGTTTGTTGTCATTTTTAAATAATTTGTACATGAGATCCGGATGTAGCCAATCTGTACATCTAAATGTCAGGCTATTTGTTCACCAAAACAAACCAATGACAGGCTATTTATACTCAAACCAACCAAGTCTTAACAGCTAACATTGATCCAAGCACAGAATTTTTGACAGATTAGAATGCTAGTGTTATTTCCAATGGAACTACCGTTAAAGATATGCTGATATTTAAGTAAAACTAGTTTCCTAAACTATTATTGATTTCAAAATACAACTTCAATTCAGAATTAATGGTGAAAAGGGTTCTATAATAGTGCACTAAATAGCCAGGATATGGTGAAAAATCAATGAAAGCAATTTCTGATTGCATGATTCTGCATGATTTCCATGTGATTATTCTTTATAATTTTTTTCTGCCTCAGTCTCTTTAGAAAATACTGTACCGTGTACATTGTGAGGAAATTTATACGCATCTTGATTTTTTCATATTATGGTTGATCTATTGTCTTATTTAAAATTCTTTCTAAATTCATAATGAGTGACATGTTACTATGTATAACATGATATTTCATGGAGTTTCTTATTTGACAAATGGCTGGTAGATGCTCATAATTTCTAAAAATTGTTTTTAATGCTTTTGGTTGGTAGGAACTTGATCCGCCGCCATGGTTGCACCGTATGCGTCAGTTGGGGTATCCACCTGGATATCTTGGTAACTAGACTCTTTTGACATTCATTTTTACTTAATTGTTTTTATCATTTACTGATTTGTACTTGTAGATTTTGTATTCATATATCATGCTATATAAAGTGCATTTTTAAAACTAAATACTAATGATTCTTATAATTTCACAGATGAAGTTGAGGAAGATCGGCCTTCTGGAATCGTAATTTTCGCTGACGAGGAGGTAGATGCAGAATGCGAGGAAGGAGAACTTCCTGATAGGGCTGATCCAACGCCATCAAAAAAGAGGATGACAGTGGAATTCCCGGGGATTAATGCCCCCATTCCTGAGAATGCAGATAACTGGGTTTGGGCCACTTCACGCAGCTCGCATAACCAAAACTCTCATACCGACTCGAACCAAAGCCACCGAGGTAGCCATCGTGATCGGATCGAATCCACAGATTGGCGAGACGACGGGCCACCCGGTTCGGCGCACGGGCTTGCTGCTTTCTCGAGGGCTGCCTACTCGCCCAGGTTCAGCTCTCGGGACCATAATTCTACTCCGAGCCCGCATTTGGGAAGGTCTCTCTCTGACCGAAGTTGGCCCAGCCCGACGCTCTATGGAAACTCCCCAATTCATAGCCCTCACAGCTCAAATCCTTACTCGAGTCATAACTGGCAGTCGCCTCAACATCATGGCCTAGCTACCTATATGGACCACCGGAGCTACGAAAATTTGCATCGGTCAAACTATGATGCGAGGGAACGAGATCAACACAGGCACGAGCACCACCGGCATCATCCAAGGAGGTAAAGTGTGATGTGCTATTTTAGTTCTAGTAATGGAAACTTTGTGTTTGTGCTCTACTGAATTATCTCTTCTTTGATATGGATGTGCATAGACCATTTATTTATGCCTTTAGATAGCACTATCCATGTGTTGTAATATGGAATGTAGATACACTATTTCTTTAGTTCAACTTGCTTAACCTGATTTGTAAATCTTAAGGTGAGTTGTACCATCTGGTTGTTCTATTAGACTATTTTTAGGAAATAAAAAGGTTCAGAATATTTGATCATTTTTTATAAATTTTAGGAAGATTAATTAAGAACATAAATATATCACTATGTGACTTAAGATTTACATGCATAGCACTCAATTCTTATGTGTGTGCATATCTAGCATCTAAACTTTGAATTTTATATATATGCCACCTTACATATAAATGAAAAGGTGTAGGCATTGTTTTTGTGATATGAAAGCTTTTAGAATTGAAGGGTTTAATGTCTAAATTTAACTTTACTTCTTAGAGAATCAAGCCTAAGTTTATTAAGTTTAAATATGATGTATCTGCATGGATTAATGGGGCTGAAGTTAATTTTGAACTTAACTATTAAAATTGCTTTAGTTCATATGGAATATTAGAATCGAATTTAAGTATGATATAAACTGAGTTTTAATACTTGAAAATTTTGCTTGCTAAGTCATAGATTCAATGAGAAGTTTAAAGGGATTAGAGGTTGGATTTTCTGAAAATTTTAAAATCTTGTCATATTTTCAGTTGTAAGACTTTAGAATTTATAGAAGTTTAGAAATTTGACTAGAAGTACTTTTAAATCCAAGTCATTAAATTTTGGTTTGGTAAGAAGTTGTAAAGTTTGATGTTGATAAAACTTGTTCTACGACGATAAACACATTATTCAACAGAAGAAATATGGTCTGAGGAACATGAGCATATTATTAATATAAAAAAAAAAATTAAATTCAGTACTAAAGATAAATATAGGAATCTTTATTAGTCGAGCTGCCAAAAAATATTGTTAAATCTTAGATTGTCTTGCCAAACATGCCTCGGGAGATGGAACATGAAAAAAAAAAAAATAAAGGGATCACGAGTCCATGAGCGTGTAATCCTTTTTTAATCAAAATACCCATATTTATAATTAGAAGTGGCAAGTTTATAATTACATTATTATCCCTTTTTATCTTGTTGGTTAGATGATGCACAAATGAGAATAACACTCTCTTTGGGTGCAGCTGCAGTTTATCTAGCTTATCCAGATAAGCAACTTATCCTGATAAGCTGCTGATCATGATCTTATCAGGATAAGTTGGCTGAATGTTTGAGACAGTTGTTTGAAAACAGTTGATTTGCAGTTGTTTGTGGATAAATAATCTTCTGCCCCATTTGATTTAGAAAAAAACTTATGATAATGTTCCAAGAGAAGTTCTCTGGAGAGTTTTTGAAAAGAAAGGTGTTAATATGATTTATATTGAAGTCATTAAAGATATGTATAATTCTCTTTTATGTCCTGTAAATTGTTTTCTGTATAAATTTTTTTGCTATGACATTCATATTATAAGGGTCATAAATTGAAAACAGGCAATGAGCTTGGAGTCTTCTTTTTCTTTCCAATAGTCTCTGGCACAGAGATTGTACTGCCATATGCCTTCATTTTTGTTCTACTCCTCTGCATTGGCTCTATTTCTCTATTGTGATTCTCGTCAAGCATTTCATACGAGAACGAACTTGAGAAATTGTAAGCTCGGTGCTCGAGAGCTTTTGAGGATGGCGAGTCGTCGGAGAAGATGATGGAGAGAATTATAACAAAGAAGTTGCTGGAAGTGCTTTTGATGGTTTGCATGAAAGCAAAGGTTATTACAAAACTGATCTTTCTGTTTGGTCGGCTCTCTTTATCTGGTCGACTCACTCTTGTTTGCAGACACGAAAGAGTCTGAAGGAAAGGAAGCACCACCAACTATTGCTGCTGCTTCGACGACGGTGGAGCGAGATAGTAGCAAATGAGAGCTTGAGCTGGAGAAGGTCAAACAGAGGAGTAAGCCGGTAATAATCTGATTGAAGACGCGAGTCGCAGTGTCGATCTTGCGGGCCGTATCTAATAAACGAATCAGAACTGCGAGCATAATACACAGATCGAACGCACAAAAAAAATTGCGCATGTGCGGTTTCACAATGCCAAATGCATGAATAAGTTACCCCAAACGGGTCCTAAGTTTGATTGCATTGAGTACGAGACACCTTAAAGAGGAATTACACCTCACTTGAGAGACACTCAAATGAGCTCATGTAAGTGACAAGCACAATCAATCATGACATGGTCATGGCAAATGACACACACGACAAACTATAAATGATGTCATGAATGTTAGGTAGTATGACTTGTGCTAGGTGAGAGTAATACACTGAAGTGAACACACATTACGCACTAGATGGGTTCAGGGGCTAGGTAGCATGACTCAGACTAAGTAACGCAACATGACATACCTAAGACACTCCGAGGTGGTGTCGTAGGAAATGAGGTAGCATAAATCTCGTTAAGGAGAATTTCACAACGAATAGGCTTTATATGTCAGCCACCCACTCATAAGATACACAAGTATCTAATGTGCACATACAATGACGCATGTGCATGGAGATACTGCGAAAGCAGGTGCTCATAAATACACCTCAAGTGTATGTCAAATGCCAGAAATGCACATTCGATAAAATAAAATTTTTCATAAATGATTTTTAGCGAGTCAAGCATCAAGCCAAAAAAGAAAATTACATGCACATGAAGACACAAGCATTAAGCTAATCAAAATTTCGTATACAAACAATGCAAAAAAAAAAAAAAAACTATCATTCAATTGAGATCGATCGATCGGGACGACCGAAGATGACTGACCGATCAAACGTGGTTGAATGATCAAGTGGGCTAAAATGCGGCAGACCGGTCAAAAGTGACTGGTTGATCAAAGGTGGCTGACCAGTCAAGCTGGCCAAAGATGGTTGATCTAGCCAATCAATGGTAGGCAACCGATCAAATGCACATTGGAAAAATTATTTTAATGTGAATTTCAAAATCATGAAAAGCACACGAAAATGATTGTGATCATATGCAAAATGATACTGAATTGCACTTGATGGCAAATTGAGCTCGTCCTAACGATCTCTCATGGATTTAAGTGTTGTTGATGATGAGGTGTACAAGTCGGTTGTCGCACGAGGTGATGAACGACCCACCTTCATTTGCTTGGGCATAAAACGAAGGGATTTCACGGGAAAAACCTTCATAGCCTAGAGAATGGAAAGATTGCAAGGATCTTTGTTCCATAGGCCCATAAAGATTTAGTCTTTCCATCAAAGAACGGAATCTCCGATACAAATGCGTGATTACTACAATCCTGTATATCTAGAATTTTGGAGCTAAGGTTGAGGTTAAATCGCTCCTGAAAACGTAGGGACACAATGAAAAAAGCTTCCTAACATATGGGGGCTTCTCTAACATCACCCTAAGCTTAATATCTCTAACACAATACCTAAGGGATTGGGTAGAGAAGAAGAAAAATCGAGTTCTTAGAAATTTTCACCTTCTTGATGGTTGAAGGAGCGTGCTTTTTGCTTGTTCATGCCTCCTTCCCTTTGATTAATGACACTGATTTAGGCTAAATCTTGCCATGCAATAAGTTTGGACAAAATAAAGCAGCAGATATGGGACGGGCTATTTGTGTGAAAACAAGGATATGAGGTTACCTTCCCCCATTTGCTTCCATGGTTTCAGGTAGAAGCAATGCGGAAGGAGAAGAAAGATAAGAGTTTGAAGTCTCTGTGTGTTTTGATCTCATCATTATCTTCCCAGCTAGATCCCAATTGCAGCTCTACCACCATGGTTCGGTGTCAAGGGTGATGGTTTTGGGTGAAAACCGGGAGATGGTTTCAGGATGAGAGCGAAGGGAGCCAAGCTTCACGTGAGGTGTCGATAGGGGAAAATAATTTTTTCCGGACTTCGGACGTAGTTCTATGTGCGAACTCCCAGTAATATGTAGTCAACTGTTCTAAATTGGGCCCACCTAAAAAAATATTAAAGTGAAACCACAAAGATTATTGAAGTGGAACCGCGAGGATATTAGAGTGGAACCGCGGATGTTATTTGGAGGGTTATTGGGGGTTTATTGGGGGGGGTATTGGGGTATTAACTCCAATAATGCCGCAATAACCCCCCAATAACCTCTGTGGTTCCACTCTAATAACCCCCAAATAACCTCTACGATTTCACTTCAATAACTCCCTGCAATAACGTCCGCAATAACCCCACAATAACCTCCACGGTTCCACTTAAATAACCCCTTGCATTAACCCCCATAATAACCTCTTAATAATCTCCAATAACTCCCTAATAACCTTTGTGGTTCCACTCCAACGACGCCCTGCAATAACACCCACAATAACTCCCCAATAACCACCTAATAACCTTCACGGTTTCACTTCAATAACTCTTTGCAGTAACCCCCGCAATAAACCCAATAACCTTCGCAGTTTCACTTCAATAACTCCCTGCAATAACCCCCGCAATAAATCCACGATAACCCCCCAATAACCTCCATGGTTCAACTTCAATAACCCACTGCATTAACTTATGCAATAACCACCTAATAACCCACAATAACCTACGTGGTTTCACTTCAATAACCCCCCAATATTTTCCGCGATGTAACACACGTGGTGACATATAACTGGAGTCCGCACGTAGAGCTACATCCGGAGTTCAGACAGAAAATTTTCCGCCAATAGGAGGTGAAATCGACGACGGTTTCGACAGAAAAGGTATAAGCCCACTTTTTTAGTGTAAATATTACTTTTTTAGTGTAAATATTATATATAATATTTATATTAATATTAACATTAATATTAACATTAATATTAATATTAGTATATTTTTCATCACGTTATCTTTTACGAGCCTCAATTTACATGTCATCTCAAATTTTATGTTGATAGGTTATGTGCGAGATCAAATTAATATTGGTGTCTTCTTTAGGTAAAGTCGATGTTTCATACACGCTCACACAATTCATTTTATAA